CAAAACAAGTTAAAAGCTGTCTAATGAAGTATAAGAAAGTAACTTCTTTAAATAGCAAAAAAGTTAATAATTCCTACAAAAATAACAGATTTATAAAATTTTATTTTGATTTTTTATCATTATTCAAAACACAGATTATAATACATCTTATTTCCATGAGTATTATGGTTCAAAATATGTGTATTTTTGTATTTTGGTGTTTCTAGCAACCTTACATAAAATTATTATTGATAAAAAATAGTAAACACAGTGGAGTGCTTAAAATCAATAAATCTTTTCCGGAATTGGCAGTCAATCTCCAGCAAATTACTGACTGAATGGCCACATAACCAACTTTACAATGATGAGTCACATATAGTGTCTTTTGAGATTGACATTTTGTGCAAACTCTTTACCACATTTATCACATCTGTAAGGCTTTAGTCCACTATGTGTTTTGAAATGCTGCATTAAGTTTCCTGTTCGAATAAACTTTCGATGACAGACATTACATTTGTATGGTTTTTCTCCACGATGAATCCGACAGTGTTCTTTAAGATTCCCATTCTGTGCAAACACTTTACCACATTGATCACATTTGTATGCTTTTATTCCATTATGCATTCTTAAGTGCTGATTCAAGTGACCGGTTTGAACAAACATTCGACCACATACATGACATTTGAATGGTCTTTCTCCACTATGAATCCGTCTATGTACCATCAGACTATAACCCCTCGTGAACTCTTTCCCACATTCTTGCCACTTGTTTGTTTCTTTGCTTGTTGGTAATCTTGCATATACCTTAGAATTAACCATTGTTTCCATCAACGTTCAACCTTTGTATGTTATTTTTACACTCTTGAGCGCAATTCGTGTATTTTATGCAGCGTTGAAATTCCGGTACAGATTAAAATGTTATTATTCCTTTGTTAGAAATGATTAAAGTCATGTTATCGGACCAACCATTTCATTTGGGGGGGGGTCAAACAAATATCTCCAGCCCCCAAATGAAACAAATATCTTGCTCTGATATGTAGAAGAAATCAAGTTATTAAGGTATATACCATTCATTTATAATGAGGCTTATAAATGAAAAAAATCATCCTGAGATGAAAAAGAAAAAAAATAAACAAACCTGAAATAAGATACCCACCCCAAATTCAAAAATAGTCTATTATGGGGTCAGACCTCTTAATTATATTGCTAGATATTGCCAACATGCATGAGTGCAACGATACACCAAAAACTGTATTGCGTTTTAGAACAATATACAGTACCATATCAATAATGTAATACGTATTTCCATACATTAGCATTTAATGAAAAACAATATCATAATCATTATAACAGTTCTTAGTTGAAAAACAACAAATCTAAGCGATGGTGCCTTAAAAAGACTTCAAATGGTAGTGAAATAAAATTCACATCAAAATGAAACATCTACGTAACACACGAAACTAATAAAAATTATCGGATAATAAAAATCCCTAACATCTCCGCCAATTCGCCCATTCGCACCAGGTATAAACAATAAAATTTGCATTTGTATGAGATAGCATTACGTCGTAATTATGACAGAATTTCCTTAATTACTAGATAACATTACGCTATTACGATATAACATTGCGCTATTACGAGATAAAATTGTGTTATTGCGAGATAGCATCGTGTTATCAGCACATAGTGTTGTGTAAATACGAGATAATATCGCGTTAATACGACATATAATTGCGTTATGACGAGATAGTATTGAATTGAGTTGTTACGAGATATGTTGGAAACTCATTTCTGATACATAGAATTTTCCCCCATAAGAGGGGAGAAGTGTTAGTAATTAAATTATTATAGGCATGACTGAAAAATTAGGTGACTGCAATTTCAGGTCAATCTTAGATGAAGGTGATCTACCAAGTCAATAATTTTGACAGGAGTGGCAGAGTGGTCTAAAGTGATCACCATTACAGATCACTGCCATCTCATCTCTGGGTTTGAATTTCAGGCTCAGCCAATGTGGGTATGTGAGAAAGCTTGCCAGTAGCTTCTTGTAAATCTGGAGTTTTCCCTTATTCTTCCTCCACCATTGATACTGGCTGCCATGTATAGCCTACCTTGTTTTGAAAAATTGTGTAAAACCATAAAACTACAATTATGACAGATTCTGTACATACAAATGATTTAATCTTTGTTCTAATGACTGCCAGTAACTGTCATCTTTTACACTACTTATATAGTTGACACTGAACACATTCTAAGCAACAGATTTCTAGACTCCCTTCAGTTTGCTTTTGAAAGCTTTTGCCAAGGAATCCATGTGTACACAATACTGAAGTTGTGGGTGATTATATATTCAGTAAACAGTTTCTTCAGTAAAGCATTTTTGGTACACGTTGCTTTTTTCTTATAAACTTTTTTTTTCTTTCCCTGAATACACATGTACTATTAATGTGTGTTATCCAATTCTGATTACTGGTAAGAGTCACTCCCAAATATGTTTGGCATGGTCAACAGCTTTTGATTCTGTCATGTAGTTTTTATTGAAATAGGATAGTTTTTCTCCTAATTACATCACTAATTTCACATTTTCCAGGATTATATTCCACAGGCTACTGTTGTTCCATGGAGATAGAGATCATTCTGTGCACAATTTTTTGTGTAAGTACTAGAACCTATGATTAGATAAAAAGAAATGTCATCAGCAGAGAAGCTATCTATATTCAGTTTGTATGGTGGTTGGGCAAATCACTAATATAGGTCCTAAAAAAACTGTCTAAGCAGGGCTTTAAAATTTTGCTTCTGACTCACTTGTATAGGACACTGCCCAAGTCCGCATAAGCCAAGAACTGGTCCATTCAATGCAAAATGTACAAACAAATATTTGTTCCAGTACGTTATAAATATATATGTGCTAACAATGTATTAATGAAAGACAGGATATTAATAAACACCATAAAATTCATACTACTCTGTGTTGTGCCTTTCAGGGAACAAACAATGGAGTAAAGGGAAGATGTATAGCTGTGTCAGCTTCCATAAAAATTTCTTGAGGTTAAGTGAATTTGTTTTTACTAAACAATGGAAGATTCAGAACTTTTATCAGACAATTATGTTGTGTGATTTGGATTTTAATCTCAGCTTTAACATTTTTTCAGTCATATCGATATGATGTCTGCAATGTGGATGGTTACAGTGATGCCTTACACTGCACTGGCATCATTAACAGACATGTTACATTTAGCATGATGCCACACCAGTCACCTTATCCTGACACCAGGCCGACCAGTCCTAACACTAACCTCTTAATGCTGAGTACCAAGCAACGCAGCTGTTAGCACCATTTTTTGTCTCTTGGAATGACTCAAGAGTGGGTGGTGTTTTCAAACCCGCAACCTCCTGCAATTGAGGCTGATGCCCTAACCACTAGGTCACTGAAGCAGTACTTTATCAGGCAATGAGGAGGGATTCTTGGACCTTGTACCAGATGACATTTGATAGTGACACTGTAAGGATACTGTGAATTTAAAAAATGTGAACTTTAATTGTTTATTTTTTTTGCAGCATGTGGAATTAACATATAAAGGGATATTGTGAGCAATTTTATACATGATCCACTATGTGACCTATCATCAAAATTCATAAATCAGTTATATAAATGAATTTAAAATGAGCATTTTGGATTATAATGGATCTGATTAGAAACAAATTATAAGTAATTAATTTATTAGCGACAATTCCACTCAATAATACAGGTAATTTTACAGTTTTTTCTTAATTTTCCTATCTTCTTGTCTACAAATCCAGTAAGGCTTATTTATTGGACAAATCACTCCTTCTTGTAAAATACACCCCCGACTTGTTACACTCTGACAATTGAAAAAATACACTTTGGCATGCTGTTCATGCCAGCAGCAACCTACAATAAAGCAGTTCAGGTTTATGCATACTTAATACAATTTCCCTTTGACTGGTTACCTGAGTAACCGATTATTAAGATCAACAGAAGCTTAAAAAAAAGATAATTATTAAAATTTTTGACAGCTATAGTCAGCAACATGTCTTGAAGCAAATGAATCTCTTGTGGTCTTGTGGTTGATTCTTGTTCCATGCTGTAAATCCTCGTTTTTGACTAAATGCCAACCACATTACAATATATAGTATGCTAATTCTTATTGCAAAGTTTTAGATATGGCTAAGAACATGATTGGTCTTTTAATATCAACTTCTGCTTGCATTAGTGCACTTTTAATACTTTTCTGATGATTTAAGGATTATAAAGCACATTTTCTTCAATTTAATGACAGAAGTAGGAAATGTTTTAATGTCCAACAGGCTAGTGCTAACATACAACAGGCTCACAGCATAAAATCAGGATCTCATATCACAGTAATTTTCTGGCCCTGCCATGGGTTAAGCCTTGCAGAATACCTTACATTAAGTGTTAGATACAACCTTGAAAATACAATATTTTTTTGGTCTTCTTGCAAAAAAAAGAATATATACAGGTATTTATTTTTGGTCTGCATTATTTAGAGTAATTTTAAAATATGAGCATCGTGGTAAAATTTATCAAAAGTTTCATTGTTCCATAAATATTACACACAGGTTTAGCTAGGATTTTAAAACTAGGAGTCCAGGTCTCCCAAGATGGTAAAAATAGGAGTCCCATCAGAAAAAGTTGAAGTCCCACCAGCAAAAAGTTGCAGTCCCCACTAAACCAGTATAAATCACTTACTTTCTTACTTTCTTACACTTGGTTACGGTTGCACTGTAAGCTATCAGTTATAGCAACGCACAGTTCTGAATCTCAATGAAATCATCATCATTTTTCCGCTTAACTACAAAACACTTGTCTAAATTTTGCAAACAGCATTTTGTCTAAGTCTTTGATTTCCAGTGCACATGCAATATTTATACGGCTACAAATGGAAATGAAATCAATAACAGTGATTGCGCTGGGCTTCACCAATGTCTCAAATTGCAATTATGTTTTATATATTGGTGACAAAAAATTTACCATAACCGCTCTGGTGGCCTAGTGGTTAGAGCGTCCGCCTCGGATGCGTGAGGTCATGGGTTCGATCAGTCGAGTTATACCAAAGACTTACAAAAATGGTACTAATAGCTGCCTCGCTTGACACTCAGCATTAAGTGGTTAGTGTTAGGACTGAACTATTTAAATCAACTTGTTGACATGTTTTCATTTCCCTGTTACTAGTCCCATGTTCTTGGTAGTCTCAATAAGCTGGGAACATACTGACCAAAATCTAGGCCAATTTAAGTACAAGCACATTTATGTGAAGCATGTAAATAACTCTGATAATGCAGACGTTGAATATCGTTATACTTTTCATATCAGCATGTGACCAATCTAATATTTTATTGTGGATTATATTACACAAAGGTGAAAAAATGTAATTTGTCAATATACAAGTGTCTTTATGTACAATGGCAGAGTGGTCTAAAGCGCTCATGGTTATGGATCACTGCCATCTCACCTCTGTCAGAGTTTAATTTGTATTTTTTTCAGATTCCCCCCAAAACGCTTATCTCGACATCCGACTATGTTGACAATATTTCCTCGGGCCCAAGTATATTGATGTAACCAGAAAGGGCTGTATTTGATATCAAATACATGGTAAAAAAAACGTTGACGGACACTTCACTGGGGTTATATTTAACTGAGTTATAGTATTTTAAAATCAAAACAGATACAAGCAATGCATAATACTGTTATGAGATTGATAAAAAACAAAGCATACAATATGCATATCTGAATGGTAATAGTAATATAGAAACATCAAAAACATTTGAATTTGAAGTACTGCAATCAACTATAGTTTCCAATATTACTCTTAGATTATCAGTATCTTTCTGCATGTCAATTTTAAAAGATGACCCCCCCTACAATCTCACATTTATAAAAAAGCTCAACTCAGATGAATATACAGAGTACTTATTGGAAGATTTTTTTTGTAAATGAGATAAAAGCATTTCCAAAAGTGATATAACAACTGTTGCTATATGAATTTTCTCCCACTGATGTATTCTTAATAAGACATGTAGAATAAAGAAAATTATTTTTGCGCATTAAGTAAATATAATAAGGTACTAACTTGCATGATTTAATAGATAAATCCTGTAAAAATTAGACAGCCATCCTTCACACTGATTAATACTAATATAGATAATTGTACTTCTTGGTTGTGGCACCAAAATCAGCCTTTGTAAACTAACAAACCAGTAATGTGTGATTTATACCCAGCACTTTTTCAGCACACTAGAATAAATTAAGAGCATGTTCTTTAAAACAGTGAAACAATTTGAATATTCCTCTTATTTAATACCACAGTTACAAAATATTTTACAAATGTGTGCAAAAATATTGTATACCTTCTTCATAAATTTTTATTTAGACTGTCTGCTGATAGCCACTTCTATAGTTAGCCTCATTGTCTATTCCACTTCTATAATTAGCCTCATTGTCTATTCCACTTCTATAGTTAGCCTCATTGTCTATTCCACTTCTATAATTAGCCTCATTGTCTATTCCACTTCTATAATTAGCCTCATTGTCTATTCCACTTCTATAGTTAGCCTCATTGTCTATTCCACTTCTATAATTAGCCTCATTGTCTATTCCACTTCTATAGTTAGCATCATTGTCTATTCCACTTCTATAATTAGCCTCATTGTCTATTCCACTTCTATAGTTAGCCTCATTGTCTATTCCACTTCTATAATTAGCCTCATTGTCTATTCCACTTCTATAGTTAGCCTCATTGTCTATTCCACTTCTACTGTTAGCCTCATTGTCTATTCCACTTCAATTGTTAACCTGGTTGTCTATTCTACTTCAATTGTTAACCTGATGTTTTTTTTTCATGTGCTATATAAGATTATAAGATTGTCGCTGCCATATTTGAAAACTTCGACAGATAGAAGTAAATATGGAGTGCATGGAATAACAATATATGGTATAGAGAGCCATATTTGGTAATGAGTGACCACAAGGATGTCATGGTGGACAAAGTAAGGTTGGTGTAAACATGCAAAAATGTAACAAGTATAATTCACTTGACACATGATTAATATTATTGTGAAACTTCCTGAAAAATATAACTTTACTTATGCAGCCGATTTTAAATACAGTCATCATTTTATCTTATTTTGATAATAATTTGGTCCATTTTTATATATGGTATTATAGTCTAGCCTCAATCATGCTGCGGTTATGACACAATAGCTCCACACTGATGTGCAGGAAACGGTCGTTCTCTTGCATTTTTACATTTCTTTAGGAGTTGGGAAAGCCAAACCCTTTTCACATACATCACATCTTTATGGTTTTTCTTTAGTATGACTCCTTGAATGTTGCTTCAGGTTCTGACTTTGAGTAAACTCTTTCCCACATTCTTGACATTTGTAAGGTTTTTCTCCACTGTGTATTCTTAAATGTATCTTAAGGTTTTGACTATGACTAAATACTTTACCACACAATGTGCATTTGTATGGCTTATCTCCACTGTGTATTCTTAAATGATTCTGGAGGTTTATCAGTGCAATGAACTCTTTACCACATTCTTCACATTTGTATTGTGTTTCCCCACTGTGTATTCTTAAATGTGTCTTAAGGTTTGAAGACTGACTAAACATTCTATCACAGATTTTACATTTATATGGTTTTTCTCCGCTATGTGTTCTTAGGTGCAGCTTTAGACTTGTATTGTCTCTGAAAAGTCTACCACATTCTTCACACTTGTACGGTTTTTCTCCACTGTGTATTCTGATGTGCAACTTTAAACTTTCTTTCCTTATGAACAGTTTACCACATTCTTCACACTTGTAAGGTTTTTCTCCACTGTGTATTCTTATGTGTACCTTCAGATCCTGATTCTGACTAAACGATTTACCACATGTTTCACATTTGTACGGTTTTTCTCCACGATGACTCATATAATGCGTTTTAAGATACCGATTTTGAGCAAACGCTTTACCACATTGATCACATTTGTATGGTTTTATTCCACTGTGCAGTTTTAAGTGCTGCTTCAATTGCCCGGTTTGAACAAACATTCGACCACACACATCACATTTGAATGGCTTTTCTCCACTATGAATCCTTCTATGTATCGTTAGAGTATAACCCCTCGTGAACTCTTTCCCACATTCCAAGCACTTGTTTATTATTTCACTGCTTCTTGATTTTATGTGTAGCTCAGAATTAAGCATTGTTTACAAAAAAAATAATTGTTTTCGTACGTTATATATGCCTATTTCTATTAGTCCTACAATGTATGACATCAATATAGGTCTTTCATGTCGAAAATCAACTGCTCGGTGAAGCGTGTTTTGATGTCGACTATAGAAGTCACGGTACTAATTCAACTCCCATAGTAAACATATGGAAACAGCATCATATTTTAGATTCAAAAACTAAACATTTTTGGGTCCTGATGATCAGACCTATATTTCTCCATGCACAACTATCCTTGGTGCAAGCTTCTGTGTGGAGAACACCATATGAGCCGCAGCATATTTTTTTTTTTTTTTTACTTACATTTATTGATTTTGCACCACGCGAATCAAGTACTACTTTCATTATTGAGTAATCCTAAGTCAAGTCTTTAAAAATATTATAATTGCATCAATAGAAATTTCTCTATATATTTTTTGAATATCACATAGGATAAGCTTTCAAAAGATATCTTTTTTACTAAAATGTTACTTTTCATTATTAACCAATTATGGACCATTAAAAACGTATATACTCTATTATTTCTCCGCCCATTTCTAAACTGGTTCACAGTTCTTCCATATAATTAGTACCATTTTTCCTATACGTATAATGGTACAAATTGTACAACCCCAGTTGGGCGGAGCTTAAGGTGTAGGGAACATTGCATTCAGAAATAAACGACAAAACTAGCAGTGATTGGTGCATTATGTAAGAGTTGTACTTTCTGTTAGGCTTAAAAAAAAAGTTGAGCCTCTTGGCAACATGTGAAATTATGTTAATTCATATCTAGATCACATTTTGTATTTTTTCAGATTTTTTTTTTAAATGTGGTACACATGACTGAAAATGTGTCCGGTGTAACTAGATAACTCTTACCCCTGTCTAGTTCCAGTAGAGTTATCTCTCTTAAATGCAATGAAGTACCTATTTTCGATGTTATCAAATTAACAATCTAACATTGTTCTCTGTGACAGTGTGTGACATGCATGCTGAGGTAGGATAGAAAGTATATTTATTTCGCAAAACATTAGCATTGCGGTCTATGGAAAAGCAATTGGTACCGTGATACCTAAAGGGAAGAACAGCCTCCCAGTGTATCCATAGAAACGCATACATGTTGGCGGCATTTACGAACTGTACTAGTTTGTTGTAGGAAAACTAATGCATGCTGAACATTTCTGGTCAAATATTGGCAATCTTTTAAGAATAAAATGTATGAAATCTTCAGAAAATAGCACAAGTTGACTTAGGATTGGGGCTTTTGATGTGACAGACATAGACTTATATTGCCTGATGGTGATGGTTTCATTTTTGTGTTGTCAGCTCCAAGATTGGCAAAGATGCAACAAAGTGAGTTATGCAAACATATTACAGTAGATTTTGGCCAAATATTGACTATTTTACCTGTCAAATATTATAAACCATGCAAATTAAAACAACAGGTCCAACATTATATATAGAGTGGTAACCATATTAGTCACATATTGCCCATTCCTTCCATTCAAGTAATCACTGTTATTCAAACTTTGCATCCCATCGCAGGAATCCAATTGGCATGGGATCATATCCGCGTGTCTATGGAAGGCTGTACTCCACATCTTGGCATTGTAGACAACATGAAATCAAATAAGCCGCCTCACCTTAGGGAACAATATTACATCACTCTTGAGGACTCCATTACATACAGAAGCATGAATATTAGGTTCCCACTTATCAATAGTGTATTTCTTGGGATAATTTAATTGCATTGTTAATACATGTGTTAATAATGCCATCTCTATTACATAGATAATATATTTGAGGAAATAAAATGACCACACCTTATGTATATAAATCAGTTATCTCCCTTACACCAGACAT